TCCTGCCACCTGTTGGCAGCTCAGCGACAGCTCAGCTTGGGCACAGCGTCACTGGCCCATGTGGGAATCAAACCGGCCACCCTGTTGCTCAGCTCACGCTCTTAAGCCAACTCTTAACCAACTGAGCCACTCGCCCGGCCCTGCAGTTGCATTTAAATCTATTTAGCTGCACATTTTTGTCCCTAAATACTTGATTTGTGCTGATTTATGCCCCTACTCAAAAATTACTTAATCAGGTATCTTAAAAATGAGGCCTAAAAATGTGATAAATTTTAAATAATTGGAGTCCTGGAGACACAGAGGAATTCGAGAAGGTGTAACTCGGTGTGCACTCCCATCTGATGGTTTCTCGAGGACGCTCTCAGTACTGAGTAGAGCCCCTCTGCCCATGCCAGGGTCAGGCAGAGTGGTGGCTAGCTCAGAATAGTGCACTTCAAGCATTTGTCTGGGAGAATGATCTTGAACTCACTATTCAGTATTTATCCATATTCTGTGAAGTGGAATAATATTTATGGAGGATTGTTTGAAGGGTCTGAGACCCATATTTTCCTTTAAATTTTCTAAAATGTACTTGTTTTAAGCATGAAGATACAAGCTGCCAATCTGGATGGGCTACTCTGCCCCTGCTTTTACTGTGGCTTCGCGCCCCTGGCCTGTACTGAGAAGCATCATAAGAGATGTTGCTGTGCCCCTCCCACCTTGCCTGTCCCCTCTGTGAGGATGGTACTGAGAGTACTTCCTTCTGTTACAGGGGCCTGTGGGAAGAATTGGGCTCAGTAGCAGACATAGCTGTGCTTCTACTGAGCTGCTAATTTGTTTTTAGCATTGGGCACTGTCAATCATATAATTGGTTATGTTTTCCTTTTCAAGTTGGCTCACTTGTAGCCAGCATGTGCAACTAACTTTTTGTTGTTGTTATTTGTATACTTTTTTTGTGTGTTTTATATTTTAATAAACAATAGAAAAGAAGTGTGGTTGATAATGTGGCTTGCAAAGTTTGAATGTGAATGTTTGTATAAACTCACCTGCTCAATAGAAGGGTAAATGACCCATGGAAACTGATAGTAGCTTTATCCTTTAGGCACCAACCTCACGGTAGCTGGGTTTCTTGAATAGAGGGTGCCAATCACACATTTTGTTTGATTGACAAAGTAGACAATTAGATGCATCTTTCTTTTAAACTAATGTTTTTAACAGCCTTATTTAGGTATCATTAGTGTTCTTCTATAAGTT